TATCCACATTATTTGGTCATCAATGACAGAAATGATCAAATTATCAAAATCATTCATCATTGATCATCCCAATTGAGTTGATAAAGTATCACTTCGTGGAAAGTCATCGGTGGTTTTAGTTTTATGAAGGCCTTGCCGTGGCAATGTTTGGAGGTTGGCAGTGGTCGACATTAGGGCTGAGCGATTTGGGGAAAATATCTAATTGCAATTTTTCTGACAGATATTGCGATTTGATTTGCGATCAAATGTGTTAAGTCAAGCTTCAGTTCAATATTCAATGTGTAATAGATTTAAAACATGTGATGGAGCATTACCACGTGATACCATCAAAATATAAACTGCTCTATATATTCCAATGCAAGGATGACAACTTTAAAGATATTAATTGCTTCCAACATGTATTTATTTAAATGGTTTAATTGAAATAGAACAATAAAACATAGAACAATTGTTAAGTTAAATAAATAAAGTTATAATAACAAAAAATAAACAATCCAATCATAAAGTAATAGGACTTTTCAAATCGCTAAAAATCGCAGCCTTTGTGATTTGCTAATCGCATTGTTTCAAATTGCGATTTCGATTTGAAATCGATTAATCGTTCAGCCCTCGTCGACATCCCGATGGCCGGGAGTCGGTACACCCCTGGGTCACTGCAGGTCGCCGCCCACGTGGTGGCGCCACAGCGCTTGGGATGCATCTTAGGGGGCTCGCTCGAGTCACGTGGTGCTGCCCGCAAACCCCTCCGCCTCACAAACAGGGCAAACATTATCGCGCCCTGCTCTAAGTGGCGAGCCAAAACCTTACGATGCTAACATTTGATGGAACTTAAAACAACTTTAAGCTCGTTAATTTAAATGCGATTAATCGTTTAAAATAGTTACGAATGGACGACTGAAGCTTGCACCCCGTGATGTGTTGTGTGTACACCGCGATTCCGGGGATGTTTTTGGATCCGCTGCACAATTCTTAGGCGGGGGGTCCCAAATCTGTGCAAGGGGTTTATGTCCGGTTTAACTTCCGTCTGTGTGTATACATTGTGATCTCTTGGTTATGGTTTTAGAATATGCATGGAGTCCTTTCCCGATGTTGGAGACTACAGGATTTGAAAACGCGACTATGGGATGTGTTTAACCCATCTGGGACCTTCGTGAGACCATTTTGTGTCAAAAATAAAGGGGATCTTTAAAAAAAAAAACCTGTGAAATCTGTAGCTCATATAATTTCGAGACCTTTTAATATTTACAAAATCGATGCGAACATTCTAGAAAGATTGAATGGTTGTATCATCCCTGCATGTGATAGTAGCAGCAGTGTGTGTTCGTTCCGGAGCTCGCCTGCCGGAAGAGCTCACCGATAGATTTAAAAAAAAAATGTGCCCCAGATCTTTAAAGGATACGTGAGCTCCCCACACAATCCAGTCTGGTTCAACCCAGGATGGATCGTAGGCAGGCCAACCTAAATGTCTCAAGCCGGCTCGAGCGTTCCTGTTAAGGACTCCACGTATCGCAAACACAGAGCAGTTGTTGTATCTGATAATTTATTTTTTGGTATAGCCCTGTGAGCCATCCGGCTCTTGAAAATAAGACCCGGAGCTTCGTGTGGAGCGACAAGGCAGTCAGCTTCTACACAACGTTACTCACGTAGTTGATGATGAAAATATAACTCAGCTCGACTGATTCGCTGCCAAACTGGAGCTGGTCGTGACACACTTCCCAAGTATGGGCACTTTTCCAACTTCTTCACACCCGTCCTCTACTCAGAGAGAGAGAGTTGAAGGGGTGGAATGTTCAGTGCTTGGTTTTGGTGGAGCTGATAGCTCTTTGTAGCACGCTTCAGATTCAGCCTCCCATTGTATCTACAACAAACCGAAGTTTCCTTGGTGCAGCAATTGAAAGTTCCTGAAATTACGTGGCCAAAGAAGATATTAAATGGTGTAGTGGGGTCAGAGGAAATCCCTGTCGCACGCCAAGGTGAACAGGGATGGCTCGGACTCCTGCCCACCCTCGTGAATGTGTGAGCATTGCTGAGATTGTCTACCCAGGAAAGTCACACCGGGTTTCAAGAGCAATTGTCAGATACTATTTCAGCATTTGGCCAATACCAGTGACACTGTATGTGTGTTTAGCGACGTCGTTAATGAAGGATACTTAAAGATCGTAAACTACTTGCCAGTGACACCAAAAGCCAAAGCATTCGGTCCTTAATAGTGTAGTCGGTCATGACTAGGCCAATAATACATCGGGGTTAGGCCCTGTTGACATTTCCTACACACGCGCGCCTGTGCAAGTGATGTTAGCGAGTAGCACTACAACAGGCGGAACGCGATGTTTGTACACCGTACTACGTGCTCATTCGAGGCCGAGTCGACCTAGGCGGGACCCAGGATGGGCTCATATAATTGAAACCGATGTTGGCCGCAAACAGGAATCGAGAATCTAAGGCGCAGGGTTCATAAGCGCAGCGCGCGAACCGCTACACGACCACGACGCGCACCTGCAGGCACGGCACCTGCAGGCACGCGCACCTGCAGGCAATGCATGCAATGATTAGCGAGGAAAACACGCGGTGGCAGAGGGAGACGGCTGGGAGGGAGGAAGGCGCTCGGGATGGATCGACGTAAATGGCGGGACGGGGGTGATTGAAAGCACGTCGCTAGCGTCTGTGGAACGAATTTCCACGGGACCCAGAATTCGAGTTAAAGGGTTCATTTCTGGGTTGGTTCAAACGAGGAAGTGGCGTTTCCACGACGTGCCGAGTGACTCGGTATTCCAGGTGAGCCGAGCCCCTCTCTCCCAGGAGTCCTTCCGAGTGAGACTTCTCCAGGAACACTTGCCGAAGGTCAGGACCCTAATGTGGACAGTAAATGTAAAAATTGTGTTTGAGAGCCACGGCCCTTTTGATTAGAAGCTTGGATAATTCCTCTTGTTAGTACCTTTGGGGGCACGAGTGGTCCCTTCACCAACATCTCCACCTCTCTGTCTGTCTGTCGCTTCGTCTATCATCGAAGGCGGCTTTCAAATCCGTTCAGCGTTTGATGTTAGACATCCACTCAGATCCAGATATCCCCCTTCTTGGACATCCACTCAGATCCAGATCTCCCTCTTCTTCGAGCACTTTCCAGCGTTCCCTCCGTGGCCGTCTTTTGCAGCCGGTCACCATTCACTCTGGCCACGTGTCAGAATGACTGCAGTGTCCCGTTGTCCATCCGCCGCACGTTTGATGCTGTGTAACAAAAAAAGTAAAACAAAATAGTTCCTGGGTAGTGTTATTTCCTAATTGCTTATGCCTCAAAAGTACAGAAAATGGCTACTATTCCCCACAAACTTTACTTTTGTGACCAGCAGTGACGTTTTGAAATGTACCTATTTTCAATAAGAAAACGTGGTGTGCATTTGTGTCATTCCTTCACATAAAGTCCTGGTCACAAAAGCAAAGTTTGTGGGGAATAATAGCCATTTTCTGTACTTTTGTGGCACAAGCAATACAAATATAACACTACCCAGGAACAAAAATTGCGTTACAAAGTGAATTGGCACGGTCGGCTACATACAGTGCGAAATAAGTTCAACACACTGCACCTGACCTGGCCGAGAAGAAGCGAGTCTCTTGTCTGTGTCCCCCAGGGTTCCCTTGCTCGTCTCACGCTCTTTGTAAGAAATGTCAGGATTCTCTGGCAGGCTGTCATTTCGAAGGCAGCAATTCTCCTCTCCACGCGGTCAGAGTTCCTACCCAGGGAATCGAGGATAGAGAATTTGGGGGGGGAGGGGGGGCTGCATCACGAATTCTCCGCCAACAAGACGGGACCCCCAAATCCGCGTTGCGGAGAGTGAAACACTCGGAGGTTCAACTCCCCCGAGGTTTTGGCGGCTCTCGGAAAACTGGGGAAACGGAGGGGGTGGCGGGGAGGCGGGTGGGGCGACAGACGACGTGAAAAGTCAGGGAGACGGGGAGGGAGGGAGGGAGGTAGAGAGGGAGAAGACGGGGAGGGAGGGAGACACGTGCCGTGGAGCGGGGATGGGTTGCGGTGGCCGGAAGGGGCAGCTTCCTCCCTGTGGGAACGGAGCCGCGGGTCGGGGGAGGGGGGCGGTGTCGAGGAGGGGGCGGCGGGCGGGGACTCCGGCCCAGATTCAGCCATCGAATGTGCCATCGAATGTTGATGCCATAGCCATGCTCCATACCCTCCTCTTTGTGCAATGACCCTCGTCCCGTAACACTGCCCTCGGCTCAACAACCATGCTCTTGGTTCCCTGCCCTCCTGCTCAATGCCCCATGACCTCTCCTCCGGCTCGCGTGCTACCCGAGTCCCTTTCCTCGCCCACGGCAGCAGCAGCAGCAGCGCCGCACGTTGTCCACCAGGTCACACAGGTGACCTTACGCTGGGGGCGGAGGGCGGGGGGGTGTGGAAGTTTGACCTCACGTGGAGGAACGTGCGAGGAATAGGAGAGGTGTGGGAGTGGCGAGACGCAGGACACGGAAATGCAGGCAGATTGAGGGAGATGACGGAGACGCGAGCACCGAGTGGAGATGAGCAAGCCAGATGAGACAGCCTCGGGGACACGAGGGAGACGCAGAGACCCAGGGGAACATGGTGACTGAGTGGGGGGGGGGATGAGAGAGACAAAGACTCCTGGAGAGGAAGAAGAGGAACATGGCACTTGAGGGAGTGCAGATGAGGGCGACACGGAGGAGAATGACCGAGGGAGACAGGGACACGACAGGTAAACCTAGAGAGACAGACTCACGCGGGAGATGAGGACATTGGAAGACGCCAGGAGAGACTCCAGGACATCTTAAGGAAAACATTCGCAAGGGAGAGGATGGAGAGACAACCTGGAGGGAACATCAGCGAAAAACTAAGACGGTCCGGAGACGCTACCAGAGATACAAAGACTTTGGAAACAGGGGACAGAGAGAGAGACAAAGACTCTGAGCGTCGCGGAAACAGGAGACCCCTAGACGCCGGGAGAGACGCACGCAGGAAGACTCGGGGACGCGGATTGCACGGGTATAATCATTTATTTATTTATTTCTATAGGAAGCAACCCCCCGCCCGGGGCCCCTCCCTCCTCAAGCACAGAGCGCAGGGCCCCCAGGGAGGGGGGGGGGGGGTCTGCCTCTCGCATACATCTGTAAAATAAATATTATAAAACTTTGGAATAAATATTTCTCTTTACACAGGAAAACGACGACGAGAGGGGGGGCCCGCCCGGGACCCACGGCAGGGCCTCTACCCGGGGGGCCCAAGACCCTGGATAGCGCGGCCGAGGGCCCTGTACCCTGAATAGTGGGGGCCCACCAAGGTGGCGGAGGCTCCTCTAGTGGTAGGGGGGGCCGCACCGCATCCAGTGGAGCCGTGTGGGGGGCTACACAGGGAGGTGTGTGTGGGGGGCACCCTGTAGTGGTCGAGGCGGGGGCGGTGGGGGTCCCTGCGGTGGGGGTTGCTACGGGGCTCGTCGATCCCCGTCGAGGTGTGGGGGGATGTGGGGGCTCTAGAGGTAAGGGGTCCCCCCTCTGGAGGACCCCTGCAGTGGTCGGGTGAGCTCTGTCGCGGGGGTGAAGGAGGGGACACGAGTCATGTGCCGCCAATATATACTGTGTATACTGTAATATAGACTGTATATGGCACCGACTGCAGCGTTGTGCGTGCGCACAACGCGTGGTCACGGGCGTCGCCAGCGCCCACGCCGCGCGGCGCCTCTCGTCACAGTTTGCGAGCACCCATTCCTCGTCCGCCCGTCGAGCTCCCCGGCTCGTCGCCGCGCCCTCCCCTCCCTCGGGGTCCCCGCGTCTCTCGGCGGGCCCCGTAGGCCGGCGGGGGCCGGGGCGGTCGCTCAAGCGGGCTTCTCGGCGGCGGGAGACTGCGCCGGCGCGGCCCGATCGGAATCGGCGTCGTTTCGCCGGCGCCGACATCGGCAGCCAGGCCTCTGCAGGCGGTCGTACGCGGCGCGCGCCAGCTTGAGCGCGGCGCGGCCCGGTGGGTAGCACAGCAGACAGGGCAGCGCCAGCGAGAGGGCGCCCAGGCAGGCCCAGCGCGGCACGCAACCCGCGCGCCGGCACGAGCACGGGTTGTCGGCCCACGAGTCCCCCGAGTCGCCCACGTCTGTCTGCGGGGAGCAGTGGTAGAAGAGCGCCTTGACGCAGCACAGGCACGTGCACGACTCGAGCAGCGCGCCCGCCGAGCACAGGCAGCGCTTCTCGCACAGCCAGCACGCGGGCAGCGCCCGCCTCGTGGAGCCGCACTCGCCGCACGCGCACTTCCCGCACCGCTCGCACGCCGCGTGGCCCCGCGCGCCGCCCTCGCCGCCTTCGCCGTTCGTCGGAGACCCCGGCTTCTCGGCCGGCGCCGCGCCGCTCTCTCCCGCGCCGTCGTCGTCGCCGCCGCCGTCGTCGTCGTCGCCGCCGCCGGCGCCTCCTCCGCCGCCTCCGCCGCCCCCCTCGCCGCCCTGTGGCTGCCGCTTCACCACGGGCGCCGCCGGCGCCGCATCCGGTGCAGCTGGGGGGCCCGTCGGGGCGCCGGTGGGGGACGGCGCAGGGCCCAGGTGTGGAGGCGATGGCGGTGCAGGGGGCAGCAGGCGCTGCTCGGAGCACGTGCTGCCGGTACTCGTGCGAGCGCTGCTGCTCTTGGAGCACGTGCTGCCGGTGCTGGTGGACCGTGCCACGCGCCCCGCCGGCGCGACCGGTTTGTGCGGCGGGGAGCCGGCGCGGTGCTGGTGTTGCTGCTGCTGCTGCTGGTGGAGGGGCAGCGGGCCCCGTGGAGCGCCCGCCCTGGCCGCCGCAGGCCCCGCGCCGGGCCCCGCGCCGGGCCCCGCCGTTGTCCCCGGGGGCCCGTCCGTGTAGTCGTTGCTCGCATTCGCGGGTCTAATCTGGCCGAGGGAGAGCACGGGGGCCGGGGCGCCATCGGTGGTGGTGCCATCCAGCAGCGGCGAAGCCTCTCCTCGCTGACTCCTGGGATCCATGGCGGCCCCGGATCATTGGCGCTGCGCTCCTGCAGCCACACGTCGGCAGCTGTTAGCGAGCGCCTATCACGGCCAGCGGATCGCGCGACAGAGTGGTGTGGCACAATGGTTAGCGCTCTGCACTATGAACCTAGCGACCCGAGTTTGAATCCCGCTCACGGTCAACACCGGCAATGATTATCTGAACTGGTCGTGGGCCTCCCCTAGGTCGACTCGAACGAGTACACGGTGCGGTGTGTAAACATTGCCATTCGGCAGACAAAGGCGGCCCTCGTGTGCTGCGGTGGCCTTCATGGGTGCTCGCAAACAGCACTTGCCCCAACAATCTGTTAAGACTGTATGTGGGAGCCAGTACCACATTGTCTTCCAAACGCATGGGGAAGAAGATCAGGTTGAGATGCCACATTCCACTCACTTCGTCTCCAATTACATTTGTTGCTCATATAAATGCAAAACAACAAATTCCAGTATTCTCAATTCACAGCTGGATGAAGGCCTTCCCACACTGTGCCGGGGATCACGTGAGTTTTTTTAGCATACCTCACCGCGCTGGTTCTTGCTGGTTGGTATAGGCGGTGGGGGGGGGAAGGGAGAGGTCAGGACCAGTTCTGATATCACTTTGCCATTGATGTTTGCCGTGAGCGGGAATTGAACTCTGATCGCTCGGTTCACGGCACCGTGCGCTCACCACCGGCCCCCACCCGTCTATCCAAGTCGACATGATTTTGACAAAACCTGAGCAACACAAAAACAGCATTGTTGAACGGCTCAGTCTCCATAGGACACGGCCACAACAACAGGCAAGTTATAGAAAACAGCCAGCCCCGCAGAGATGCCACGCAACAGTGGCCACGTTAGATCCCGTTTTCTCCAACTTCAAAGCCGCACGATTCGGGACCAGCATCGACGGGCCGGGTCTGGAGAACCACGTGCGTGCGCTGTCGCACTATCCCACACGCACATTGTGCAAGCATTTAACGAGCGGAGCGCGGGAACGCGCGGGGCAGCCGTCGGGGGGCCAAACGCCTTGGTCGGGAATCGAACTCGGGTCGCCGTGTTCACAGTGCAGTGCGCGAACGACTGCCTCGCCACACCGTCCCTCTGTCCCAGATAATGATTGCACCGTACGTGTATGTGAACGATGTACTTGTCAGACCAGAAAGTTTCCAAACGCACAGCCTCCGCTATGTTCATCATATCTGTGGTTACATTCAGGGCTGTGCGCATTTGCAGGGCCACTCTGGTATCCGTGCGAGTTGTGGTCATTCTCATGGACGATCTCTCCACCCTAGGGTCCTTTCTACTCTTAATTCGTATGAAACGTTATCCCTCCATTCATGTTATTCGGATTTAGTTTGTGCCCATGTGACATTTCTTAAGAGCAGTGTTTTTCTGCCGAAGGGCCCCCCTAACGGCACGGGTGTTACTACTGCGCCACCCTGCCAGGGTCGAGAGCCTGGACTCGCCTATCGGGAGGCGATCGGCTCTTCCCACATCTCAGCTATGCAAGGCCCACATCCCTCCATCTGCACAACATCTCCCACATCTGATATTGCCTACCCCAGCTGTCGCCAAGACCCCATCCACGCCTTCATCATATCCCGACTCGACCGTCGCAGCTCTCTCCGCTATGCCCCCAACATCCCTCAACTCCCCACGTTCCCTCGCCTCGCCCCTCACCCCATCCCTCGCCGCTAAACCTCGAATGACTCACAATGCCACCGCCAGGCGTCTGAGCCCATTCTACAAATCCCTCGATTGGCTTGCCAATCCTGTCCTTCACCGATTACAAAAAAAAACCCCTCGCCTTCTTCAAGATCGTTCATGGATCCACTCCCACCTCCGTCTCCTATCTCATCCCACCCCGATCGCCCCCTTCACACTCCCTCCTTGCTAAAGCAATGACAGTCTTCAGCTGAAACCCTCAATGTCCACTCAAATGGAGGGAGAGGTCGCTCCTCCTCTTCTGCTGCTCCTGCAATCCCCAATGTGCCACCGAGTGTCTGTCTGTGCACGTTCGGGTCATCTTCTTCTGGCCATCCACGGCTCCGGTCGCCTCCCGACTCGCGAGTCGAGGCTCTAGAGCAGGGCTGGGGAACGTCCGGCCCGCGAAATCATTTGGTCTCTGGCCCTGCCAAGGCAACCGCAGGCGGGACTCGAAATTCAATAAATCTATGAGCAAACCTGGAAAAGCAGTTGCGAGTAGCAACATCATCATCAATACCAGCGAACATCATCACACGACCTCGCCAAAGAGAAGCAGTTACAGCCATCGCATTAGGGGCGAGTTAATTAAATGTTTGACCAAATATAACAGGCTAATTTTTAAGTTGATAATTTTGTATGGCCCGCGAATGATGTTATATAAATATCCAAATGGCCCTCGGCAGAAAAAAGGTTCCCCACCCCTGCTCTTGACACTGGCAGAGTGCTGGCGCTACACTGGCAATGCTAGCCCTACTGCGGCAAGAACGTGCCCGGGTTCGATTCCTGTCTCGGGCGCCTTTCTGTGTATACGGGCACAGGTTCCTCTGGGTTCTCCGGTTTCATCTCATAGCTAACAAAAAAAAATCCAAATAGACAATAATCGCCCTGCTCTTCCCTCCTACCTCCGACAACCAGGACGCCCTTACCGAGCGTCATCGCAGACATCTCACGGAGCTTGACCTCTGCCTGGCTCGCCGCGGCCTTCAAAGCCCCTCGACGCCTCCTCTGGCGAAATCTCCCCCGAGATGCAGGCGCACGTAGCCGACGTGCAACGGTTAACCCCCCCGGCCACAACGCCTTCTCACTCGGATCGCAGACCCAGGGTTACCCCACACACGCACACGGACACACACCACACACAAAGACAGAGATTCCCCGTATGGCCTTAACAGGCTATGGGGCAAAGTGCTGATGGCAAGGACCTATTAAGGCCGACACAGCACACACAAGGGAGTGGTGGGGGTGTGGCCAGCACCACGCTCTCCGGCCGTATTCGTTTCCCGAGTGGCGATGTTCACGCAACGCACCAGGTACTCATTTGACGCCGAGTCGACGGAAGAGAGGCGTAGGACCGGTTCAGATATTCGCGTCACCGGCGTTGGGTCTTGAGCGAGAATCGAACTCGGGTCGCCGAACACGGTGCGCACACAGAGTTGCAGCATTGGGTATGAAGAAGACGCACGGGGGGGGGGCACGGGAGACAGGGAGGCGAGTTAGAGAGAGAGGCACGGGGAACCCGTGGCGATGATAGAGCCCCCACCCTCTGCGTGTGCACGCGTGAGTGAGTTTGCACGTGTGTGTACTGAGTGTGTACACGTGCGAGTGCACGTGTCTTCGTGGCGAGCAGTGGCGCAGCGATTAGCGCGCTACGCGTCGAACCTCGATTCCCACTCACGGTCAACACCAGTGACGTTAATCTGAACCGGTACTGGGCCTCACTGTTGACTTTGCCTAAAATGAGTACCTGGTGCAGTGCGTCAACATCGCATACTGGGGAGACAAAGGCGGCCGGGCGTGGTGCTGGCCACCGACCCCATCGTGTATCGTAATTGTATTCATAGGTGCTCGTTAAAAGCACTTACCCCAATCTGTCAAATAGACTTGCCTTTATTTTGTGTGTGCGTATAGGGTGTGTGGATGCTATGGCATCTGTGCGAGTGTACATTATGTGGCTATGCATGTGTGTACCTTACATGTGTGTGTGGAGTGTGTGTGTCTATGTACGTGTCTGTGCAGGAGCATGCCTGTTTGGGGTCCGTATGTGGGTATACGTGCGATGGAGGGGACTTGGGGAGGCCTCCATCCAGCAGTGGATTAACCCCCACACTCGAGAATAATGATCGTGTGTGTGTGTATATAAAGTGAGGTGGGTCTTTCTGTGTATGTGTAAGGGTGTATTCATGTGTGTGTGTGTACGTGCGCGGAGTGGGTGATTACGTGTGTACGTGTCTGTTGTGTATTTGTGGGTGTGCATATTAATGAGATGTGTGGGTGTAGTTGTGAGTGTACGTGACGGGTATGCTGATGTGTGTCTGTGCGCGCACGTGTGTGGGTGCTCGTGTTTCGTGTGCGTTGTCTTTAGGTCTTAAATTATGCTAGTGCGCTCTGTAAACATCAGCGTTGGTGAGACAAAGGCGGCCGGGCGTGGGGCTGGCCACATAACTACTGCGTATGGTTTTGTGTGTGTCCGTGGGGGGCGGTAGTGTAGCGATTAGTGCACTGCGGCTGTGAACCTGACGATTATCCGAACCAGCCAAGGGCCACCCCCAAGCCGAATCAGCCTCAAACGAGTACCTAGTCCTAGTATGATGCGTAACCATCGCCGCTAGGGAGACAAGGGCGGCCGGGTGTGGTGCTGGCCACACAGCCCCCTCGTGTACCGTGCCGTACCGACCTTAACAGGTGGTCGCTAACAGCGCCTGCCCCAAGTCTAGGGGGGGTTTGTGCGCCTAGGAATATGTGTGTGTGTCGGCCTATGTATATGACGCCTGTGTGTGTGACAGCGTTTCCGAGAATCTCGCCAAAAGCACTTGGGCCCCCCCCCCAACAGACTACTGCATGTCTTATTACACGGGGGAGCTATGCCTGTGTGCTTATGCGCAGTTTATTTATGAATTGATGCAAATGCGTTAATGTAGGCATGCTATATACGCGCGCGCGTGTGTACACGTGTTCGCGTGTGTACACGTGTTCGCGTGTGTACACGTGTTCGCGTGTCTATGTCCGTACTACTTTGCACGTAGGCATACTCGAATTGTGTTCACTGCGGGCGTGTACACACACTGCACGTGGCTACGCACGTGTACACAATGCGTGTGCGCATAGTAGAAGGTGTAATAACGTGAGAGCACTTGCTCCCAACAGTCTGCCAAGGCTATACGGGAGATCGTTGTATTTGGTGTGTATGTGGGTATAGGGGAGTACTGCTATAAGGGCAATCTTGTTATGTCGTATATATGGGCACTGTGTGTATATGGGCACTGTGTGTGTGTATATGGGCACTGTGTGTATATGGGCACTGTGTGTGTGTATATGGACACTGTGTATATGGGCACTGTGTGTATATGGGCACTGTGTGTGTGTGTATATGGACACTGTGGGCACTGCGTGTGCGTATATGGACTCTGTGTGTATATGGGCACGGTGTATATGGACACTGTGAGCACTGTGTGTATATATGGGCAATGCGTGTGTATATGGACACTCTGTGGGCACTGTGTGTGTATATGGGCACTGTGTGTGTATATGGGCACACTGTGTGTGTGTGTATATGGGAACTGTGTGTGTGTGTATATGGGCACTCTGTGTGTGTATATGGGCACTCTGTGTGTGTATATGGGCACTCTGTGTGTATATGGGCACTCTGTGTGTATATGGGCACTCTGTGTGTATATGGGCACTCTGTGTGTGTATATGGGCACTCTGTGTGTGTATATGGGCACTGTGTGTATATGGGCACTCTGTGTGTGTGTATATGGGCACTCTGTGTGTGTATATGGGCACTGTGTGTGTGTATATGGACACTGTGTGTGTATATGGACACTGTGTGTGTGTATATGGGCACTCTGTGTGTGTGTATATGGGCACTCTGTGTGTGTATATGGGCACTCTGTGTGTGTATATGGGCACTCTGTGTGTATATGGGCACTCTGTGTGTATATGGGCACTCTGTGTGTGTATGGGCAATCTGTGTGTGTGTATGGGCACTCTGTGTGTGTATATGGGCACTCTGTGTGTGTATATGGGCACTCTGTGTGTGTATATGGGCACTCTGTGTGTGTATATGGGCACTCTGTGTGTGTATATGGACACTCTGTGTGTGTATATATGGGCACTCTGTGTGTGTATATATGGGCACTCTGTGTGTGTATATATGGGCACTCTGTGTGTGCATATATGGGCACTCTGTGTGTGCATATATGGGCACTCTGTGTGTGCATATATGGGCACTCTGTGTGTGCATATATGGGCACTCTGTGTGTGCATATATGGGCACTCTGTGTGTGCATATATGGGCACTCTGTGTGTGCATATATGGGCACTCTGTGTGTGTATATGGGCACTCTGTGTGTGTATATGGGCACTCTGTGTGTGTATATGGACACTCTGTGTGTGTATATATGGGCACTCTGTGTGTGTATATATGGGCACTCTGTGTGTGTATATATGGGCACTCTGTGTGTGCATATATGGGCACTCTGTGTGTGCATATATGGGCACTCTGTGTGTGCATATATGGGCACTCTGTGTGTGCATATATGGGCACTCTGTGTGTGCATATATGGGCACTCTGTGTGTGCATATATGGGCACTCTGTGTGTGCATATATGGGCACTCTGTGTGTGCATATATGGGCACTCTGTGTGTGCATATATGGGCACTCTGTGTGTGTATATGGGCACTCTGTGTGTATATGGGCACTCTGTGTGTATATGGGCACTCTGTGTGTATATGGGCACTCTGTGTGTATATGGGCACTGTGTGTGTATATGGGAACTGTGTGTGTATATGGGCACTCTGTGTGTGTATATGGGCACTCTGTGTGTGTATATGGGCACTCTGTGTGTGTATATGGGCACTCTGTGTGTGTATATGGGCACTCTGTGTGTGTATATGGGCACTCTGTGTGTGTATATGGGCACTCTGTGTGTATATGGGCACTGTGTGTGTATATGGGCACTCTGTGTGTGTATATGGGCACTCTGTGTGTGTATATGGGCACTCTGTGTGTGTATATGGGCACTCTGTGTGTGTATATGGGCACTCTGTGTGTGTATATGGGCACTCTGTGTGTGTATATGGGCACTCTGTGTGTGTATATGGGCACTGTGTGTGTATATGGGCACTCTGTGTGTGTATATGGGCACTCTGTGTGTGTATATGGGCACTCTGTGTGTGTATATGGGCACTCTGTGTGTGTATATGGGCACTCTGTGTGTGTATATGGGCACTCTGTGTGTGTATATGGGCACTCTGTGTGTGTATATGGGCACTCTGTGTGTGTATATGGGCACTCTGTGTGTGTATATATGGGCACTCTGTGTGTGTATATGGGCACTCTGTGTGTGTATATGGGCACTCTGTGTGTGTATATGGGCACTGTGTGTATATGGGCACTCTGTGTGTATATGGGCACTCTGTGTGTGTATATGGGCACTCTGTGTGTGTATATGGGCACTTTGTGTGTGTATATGGGCACTC